CATTGTAATGAAACAAGGTGTATGATTTGTTGAATGTAAAACTGATGATCTGCCCTGGAAACTTTCACTTAATCCACAATAAAAACCTTAAAAAAAAAAATCCCTGTAGTTAGTTATAATAACAAAAATATATTTCGTAAGACCAGCTTATATTTATCAATATTACAAGGCTAAAACACTATGAGAATTTACTTTTTGAATTATCTAATGTACTCCCACGGAGTCCTGGTGTGGTGCTATGGGTTAATGCATCAGACTGCAAAGCCGTTTGAACTGCAAGGTCAGTGGTTTAAGCTCACCTGCTGCTCCTTGGAAACCCTATACAGGATCGCTATGAGTCGGAATCGACTTTACAGCACTTGACAACAACAACAATGTACTCCCAATGACCTCTGGTAGCTTACTGATTACAAGTCGGGCTGCTAACCTCATGGTCAGCAGTTTGAAACTACCAGCCATTCCACAGGAGAAAGATGAGGCTTTCTGCTCCCGTAAAGATTCACAGCTTCAGAAACCTTATGCAGGGTCGTTATGAGTTGGAATTGACTCCACAACACACCATCACCACCAATGTACTCCCATAAGAGTTGTCATTAACAGCCAATATAATGACGCTTGGAAACACATAGTTTCTTCTGCATGTGCTACAAGTACATAGTGTTGTTTTCATTGCAGCCAGTGTGTTTACAGTCGTTGATTTTGTCAACTTTCCTGGTGTTCTAGCTACAATATTGTAGTAGTAGTTATGATCCTGTACCAACATCTTTTTTGAGAATTAAGTAGGGTAAAAAAATAAAAAATACAGCTTCTACTCAGTTACTAATGATGCTGGAATTCAATGTGGAAAGATCAAAACAATTTTGTTGGAAAATTGATATAGGCTAAGAAATTTTACACTTAAGCAATTTACAAATATACTGATCATATAAAAGGGAGCTTCAAAGAGTCCATAGAAAAATGTTAATGAAAAGATAATGGAATTTTTCCAGAAACTTTTTGAAGCCCCCTCAAATTATTCCATGATCAAAACTGCATTGGTGAGAAAAAGGCCAAGAAAGTTGTACCAGGAAGTTTTTTCCCATCACAAAAGTGCACCAATTTTTGTGGGTGGCAAGGGCTATTGTATAAGAATTTAGTTGGGAAACCTTAACCCATCCACTCATAACACTGATCTTTCCCCTGCCTTTTGTTCCTAAAAGTCAAAGAACATTTAAAAAGAAGACGATTTGAGTTCCTCAAGAATGCCAAAACTGCCACTTGGTGTGGTGTAAATTGAGCTCAAAATTCTTTGGGAAAGGGTTAAAGAGACGGAGACACTGCCTTCAAAACGTCTACAGACCTAGACAGAGAATATATCGAGAAACAATACCTTCGCATGTTGGTAGTTTTGTATAATGAAAGTTTCCATTATTTGATAGCAATACTTTTGGGTTTACTCTCATGTAAGACTAAAGGATCAATAGCTATTTTAAAACATAGATGAGAAGATTGGGGAGATTACATAAATAGAACTGAAACAAATAGACTTAAGAGTGCTGTCACCAGTAATGTCACCAGCGTCACTGATCCTTAGGTCTAGACACTGTGGAACAGGAGTGGATTTTGCTGTATATTTCACACACAAAAAAATACATAAAGCAAGGACTACTTGGAAGAAAAAAAATAATGAAAAGCACATTAAACTAAGACTGAGTGGTAATGTTTTTAAACGGTCTTAAAAACTATCACCTAAATCATGAACCACAAAATACTTAATTATTTTTCCAAAAATTCTATACTCCATAAATAAGACTACTTTATCATATTTACTATTCAACATAGCTTAGGCCAGAGAGAAAATTTACAAGTATTCACAGGTTCGTTTTTGATCTTAAGATTTTACTGTTCTCATGATCCAGTTCTAACCTTCAGCGTGGTGTCCAAGTATGGGTCCTCCTCACGAGCTGCCGCTGCACTGCAACGCACGGTGAAACACTGCAGGTTGTTGCTAAAGAAGAGGAGAGAAGTGGTAAGTGAAGTGGAGGCCACAAGCCATCCCACAATGGAGAGGTTTTCACAAACTAACAGCGGAAACATGGGTCATGACAAGAGATGGGACAGTGGCACCACTACTTACAAATCTAATGTATAAAATTAGAACTTTTGGGAAGCAGAGTGCATGGAAGAAACTCTGAGAAAGCGCAGAGCAATAAAAGCACCCACACTGGGGCCACAGGGACAGCTAAGTGTAACGATGACCAAAAAGATGACCTTGACATTCTACTAATGTTGTTGCTGTTGTTAAGTGCTGCCAAGTTGTTTTCTACTCATCACGACGCTGTATGGGGTTTCCGAGGAGAGGCTGGTGAGTTTGAACCGCTGAACTTGAGATTCAAATAGGCCATACAATTTTAAAAATTCCTAGAATGTGTGGCATTGTAGGATAAGTGCTTATCCTACAATGCCACACATTCTAGGAATTTTAAAAAGAAGGTCGTCCCCTGACTGACTTCCACCTACACTAATCTGCTGCCGAGTAGATAAGTATGAATCTAGGAAATGGGAAATTGTCAAAAATGAAATGGAATACATAAACATTGATATCTTAGACATTAGTGAGCTGATATGGACTAGTACTGGCCATTTTGAATCTGACAACCATATGGTTTACTATGCTGGGAATGACATATTGAAGAGGAATGGTGTTGCATTCATTGTCAAAAAAAACATAGCAAGATCAATCATGAGGTACAACGAAGACAGTTAATACCACTATTCATCACATTTATACGCCAACCACTAAATCCACTGAGGATGAAATAGAAGAATTCTACCAACTTCTTCAATCTGAAATTGATCAAACATGCAATCGAGATGTATTGATCATTACCGGTGATTGGAATGAAAATGTTGGGAGCAAAGAGGAAGGATCAGTAGTTGGAAAATATGGCCTAGGTGATAGGAATGATGCTGGAGATCACATGACAGAATTCTGAAAAATCAATGATTTGTTCATTTCAAATACCTTCTTTAAAAAGCATAAGAGACAATTTATATACTTGGACCTCACCAGTTGGAATACATAGAAATCAAATTGACTACTACATTTGTGGAAAGAGAACATGGAAAAGCTCCATATCATCAGTCAAAACAAGGCCAGGGGCAGACTGTGGAACAGACCATCAACTGCTTAGGCAATTTCAAACTGAAACTGAAGAAAATGAAAACAAGTCCATGAGAGTCAAAATATGATCTTGAATATATCCTAAAATAAAACTCTGATCACATCACTCCTCCTTTTGTTCAAAATTTTTTAAATTTCCCTAGTTTATTTTGATGGTTATACAACATGGTAAATATAACTAATGGCAATGAATTGTACATATAAAAATGGCTAAAATAACAAGTATTAAGTATTAATACTAGGTTTCCAGTTCATACATGCATGTATCTATTTCAAACAAAAATACATTTAAATATGCCTCTGTGATCGGTGGATGGCTATAAAAAAGTTCTATCAGTAATACACTTGTCTTAGCTCATTAGGGTGACTTCAAATAGAAGCCCAATCAAAACTGTGGATTCCAAGGGATCTGCTGGGCCAGTTAAATTCAAGGGAGACATGTCAGCTCAAGTGGTTTAGGGATTCCAAAGAAATGATTAAAAGATTTTCTCAAAGGACAAAGAATGATCTGAGGGGCTTATTAAGAAGTTTTTAATACAATGAAAATTACATTGGTGAGAAACAGGTCAGAAATATTGAGTCAAAGAATTTGTTTCCATTACAACAATTTATTTGCTTATCCTTCATGGGTATCAAGGGCTATCCCACGAACATTTCACTGGGAAACCTTACCCTATCCATCCCACAGCTCTGATCCTGCCCATTCAAACTTTCTTTTGGTCCCAAAACTCAGAGAACGTTTTAAAGGAACATAGTTTGAATCCCTCAAGAATGTTAAAACTGCCATTTTGACAGAGTGTTAAGTTGAAGAGAGCAGAATTCTTCTTAGAAAGATGGAAATACCACCCTCAGAAGTGTATCCACCTAAACAGTAGCTTCAAATTTTATTATTTTCATTTAATAAAGGCTTCTGATTTTGTAGCAGCACTTATGGACTTGTATATTACCACACACATACATTATTACACACACATATAAAAAGTACTTCATTTCAAAACCCTGAGCTACTTACAAGCACTATTATCATCACTTCTCTATTCTTCAGCTTCTTCATATTTTAAAAATACCAGTATATAACACTGGGAAGCCTAGTTATCTTCACACAGTTCACTTAAGCAATGAACTCCCATCAGAAACATGTCTCTTTACACCAAAGATAGGAAAGAGAGCAGGTGTCAGATTCTGCACCATGGTTGTGTGCAGTCTGAAATATACAACAGTACCTGCTGGAGATTCTGATGTGATCAGTGAGCTGGGGGGAAAAAAAATCACTATGCTATGCAAGTAATCATTAGATGCTCCAACAAAACTAGATTACAGCCTTTGTTTATAGTCTTCCCTCTACTTATAATGCCCTTCTCTTCCAATCTTCATCTGTCAAAATTCTAAGTAACTTTAGGGCCTCCTTTCAAACACAGCAACTTTCCTGCATGACTCTCACCAGAAGTTATTTCTCTCCTCCCAGTGCCTCTACCACCATCATAATCCCTTAAGGCATTTTTCACAAATCTACTGTTTGTATCCCTTGTATGTGTCTTTGGTCCTCTCCTTATGTTGTTGCCTCTGAGAGCAGATGATATATCTTCTTAATGATTACTTAGCCAGAGGTCAGCAGTTCAGTGTTTTAATATACTCTAAGCACAAAAAAACAGGAAATGGAACCAAAAGCATGACTTATTGCTGACATAAAAGAAAACAGACCAAATCCTTATTCCAGAACCCAATTTACATGCCTGCATACAAGGGTAAAAAGAATCAGAAGACATCCGACATCAGTCACATAACTATGGTAAATCCTAACCTCTCCATGGTTGCTTCCAATCTCTGCCCATCACTAGGTATAATCAGATAACTATCTATCTGGCCCTGAGCCAATTCTATACTGCTGTTGTTGTTAGGTGAGGTCAAGTCGGTTCCAACTCACAGCAACCCTATGTACAACAAACCCTAACACTGACTGGTCCTGTGCCAACCTCATAATTATCTTTATGTCTGAGCCCATTGTTGCTGCCACTATGCCAATCCATCTTGTTGGAGTCTTCCTCTTTTTCACTGACCTTCCACTTTTCTAAGCATGATATCACTGACATCAAATCTACTCTGAGGTGGCAGCTCTTCCTTATTCATATTTTGAGTGCCTTCCAACCTGAGGAGCCCATCTTCCTGCACTGTATCAGGCAATGTTCCACTGTTATTCATAAGCTTTTCAGTACCTACCCATTCAGAAGTCATCTGCCTCTCCTTCTTTCTAGTCTGTTTTAGTCTGGACGCTCCACTGAAACCTGTTCACCATGGGTGACACTGCTAGTATTTAAAATATCAGAGGCATAGCTTCCAGCATCACAGCAACACACATGCCACCACAAACTGACAGACAAGTAGTGGTTCTACACTAGTATGAAATAAACTGATTCATATTGAAAGCAAGTGACAGCAATGAGGAAAAAAAATCTAAGAAACTTAAATAAACACCCTGATACTCCACTGACTTTTCATTACAATTCCCTATGAAAAAAATTTTCCTTTACACTTCCTTACAAAGATCCCATTCTATCTAAGAAAACAAAACAAAAACCTTGCAAGGCAAGTATGAAACCATCAAAAGACAGGTATGAAAAAATAGATGTACGTTATTAATCTGCAGTACTGTATATTAGGTCACAATTCTCCCTTAAAGATTTGGGTGGTACCACATGACTTTACAGAAAAATAAATGACTCAAAAACCAGCAAGTGACACTGTAACAGTACCTTGTGATGACATGCAGGAATTGTGGCGTGAGCACGGCCTGTTGAGACTTCTCAGGATACTGGTAGACTGACATTAATTCGACAGATTTGACAACCATGTAGAGATAGCCCACGTGAGGTAATGAGAAAAAACAAAAGAGACTCAGCAGCTCTTTTTCCTGAGGTGAAGTTTTTCCATCAGAAGTAAGAGAACCTACATCCAAAAAATGACGGAAATAAAAATTAAAACTTGGAAGATCACAGAATAAAGGAAAAGCAATCAATATTTTTGCCTTTGTGACACTATGTGTTAATGTAATGGACTGCAAAGTCAGTTTGAACCACCAGCTGCTCCTCGGAAACCCTATACAGGGTTGCTATGGCACTTATCAATAACAGCAACAGTGCAAACTGTTTGAGTGGACAACCAAAAGATTGTTGCTAAAGAGAAGCGCTTTAGGTAAGAAAGCCAGCACTCAATGAAGAAGGAATGATACAATTAGATGTCACCACTTTGCAGCCCTTAACACATTTACAGATCTAGGTGAGAATCATTGATCAATGACTGTTAACATCACAAACAGGAGAGCCAGATATAATGTGCCTCCCAATAGAACTTAACACCATCTATTGGTTGGTTGATTGGTTGCTTATGTGCCATAGAGTTGGTTCTGACTCACAGAGACCCTACATAGGGTTTCTGAGACTGGAAATCTTTACAAGAGCAGAAAGCCTCATCTTTCTTATGAGTAACAGCTGGTAGTTTTGAGCTGCTGACCTAGTACACTTCCAGAACACCATCTGTATTATCAAAAAATAAAAAAACAACACACAAAAAAAGTACAATGTGATCAACTGAGCCTAGAGCAATGCAGTTAAAAAGTATATAATGTGAACTAAAGATGTCATTTATAATTTCCCAGAAATCACATGGACAACATAAAAAGAGAAAATGTGAATTTAAAATCATTGTTAGTGTTGCTGCTGTTGTTGTGAAGTGACGTCGAGATGGTTCTGACTCACAGCGACCCTGTATAGGGTTTCTGAGGAACAGATGGTGGGTTTGCATTTCTGACCTTGTAGTTCGAAATCTAGTGCTAATCCTATTGTATTAATTCAATATATCTACTGTGTTACCAAGGAGCTCTGGTAGCATAGTGGTTGTGAGTCGGGCTATAACTCCAAGGTCAGCAGTTTTAAACTATAAGCTGCTTTCTGCTCCCAGAAAGATTTATAGCCTCAGAAACCCTATACAGGGTCAATATGAGTTAGAACTGATTCCATGGCACACCACCACCATCATGTTACCACTTCAATAAGCAACAAAAAAGAAAAATTTAATAAAATATTCCTTATATTCTTTTTTGTGCAGTAAATCTTTAACATTTCATATATTTTGAAGACATATCAGCCAATTACAATATATGAACTTAATTTGGATTCTGATTTAAACAAATGAACTATAAGAAAAAATTTTCAGACAACTGGGGAAATTTGAACACTGACTAGATATTCCATGGTATCAAGGAATTTATGTAAATTGGGCTTTTGTGTTTATTTCAGTAAGAAAATTCTCTCTTCCAGAGACACATGTTAAAGTACTGATGGACAAAATTACATAAATGCTGGGATTTGCATTAAAAATATCTGACAAAAGGTGGGAAGATGGCACTGTTGAAGTTTTGAGACAGGCACATCAAGTCCACTGTGCTGCTTTTTCTACATCTACGTATGTTTAAAATATTCCACAGTCTAACTTTACAAAACACCATAACTCTGACTGACAGCCTTCAAGAGCACCCACTGATAACAGAAGAAAGCCCAAATCTTCATTCTCCACAAAAGGTCAAAAGAAATGTGTCCATTTTTTTTTCCTCCCTCTTCTCTCCTACACACAACATCGCCAAAGATCTGGTGTGGCACTGTAGGATAAGCACTGGACAGCTAAGGACAAGGTTCACGGTTCAAACCCACCAGACACTCCTCGGAAACTCTATACAGGGTCACTCAAGTTGGAAATCTATTGGATTGCACTTAAGAACAATCTCTAAACTCACAGGATGACTTTATATCACACAGATTGTTGTTGCTGTGAAGTGCCGTGGAATCGGTTCCAATGCATAGCGACCCTGTATGGGGTTTCCGAGGAGCAGTTGGTGAGCTTGAACAGGCGACATTGCAGTTCAAACCAAGTTTGCAGTCCAGCATAGTAACCCACAGCGCCACACCAGGACTCCATCACACATATTTGTTGTTGTTGTTAAGTGCTGTCAATTCCAATCCACAGTGACACTGTATAGGGTTAGATTCCTCTTAATAATATCTCAACAAAATCTCCATCTTCTAAAAAGTTTAATCCAGTAAAGCAGAACTCAAAAAACGCAGTGCCTACCTATTCATTCATCTTTTCAGTAAATAACAAATACCTACACCGAGTGCCACTGTTCTTGGCTTTGGAGACACATCAGCACACAAGACAAGGTAACTACTTTCATAAAGTTTTCATTCTAGTAACAGGGGTTGGTAGAAAGTATGTTCACAAGTAAACAAACTCCGAGAGTATATAGAAGGGGATGTTTTAAACGGAGACGTCAGGGAAGTCCTCTGTGGTGAGTTTACATTTGAGCTATGAACTCAATGATTAGAAGATTGCAACCATGCAAGTTCTGAGGGAAGTACATGCTAAACACAGAAATAGTGTACAACAGGCCCTCAAACGAGTGCACTTCACATATTTGAGAGAAGTGCACTCTTGTTTAAACAAAGCCACACAGAAGAACAGCTAGGGTCATATAGACCATGGAAATGATTTGCGATTTTATTTCAAGTGCTAAGAAAAATCAATGGAGGGTTTTCAGTGCCAATCCATGACTTAGAAAGAATACTGGCTGCTGAAAAAGGCAATGAATTATAGGGAACAAGGAAATTCCCTCATCTTTGCATTGACCTCTCTGGGGAAATGCCACTGCTTCCTCAGTGACGGCAGCTCCCCTGTGCAAATGCACAGATGTCTTCTCCTTACAGAGTTCTATATTATCAGGGCACATGTTACCATTACAACAAACTCGTCTCATTGGACAAAAGCAGGAGTAGGAAGCATAGCAATTTCTAAAGATACCACCACTTTTTCCTTTTCTACTGATGGTAGCTGTCAGTGAAAATTTGAGGTCTAAGTCCTCATGGTGTGATACTATAGGATGAGCACTGGGCCCCAAGGTTAGTTTGAAGCCCAAAGTTGGTTCAAACTCACCAGTTGGTCCTCGGAAACGCTATACAGCAGGGGTGGGGAACCTTTTTTCTGCCAAAATTTATAACATCATTCAAGGGCTGTATAAAATTATCAAATTAAAAATTACACAGCTACATTTAGTCAAACATTTCATTAACTCACCCCTAGGATAAGCACTCAACCTCACAGTCGTTTGAAAAGCAAGGTCAGCGGTTCAAACTCACTAGCTGCTCCTTGAAAACCCTATATAGGGTCACTATGAGTTGGAATCAACTCAACAACACTTAACAACCAACAACAAAATGTGATGAACAAAAATTAAGTTGCCTTGCCAGGGCCAAAGCAATTGATTTCATATAAAGGCCCTCAGGCTGGACAATCCCCAGCCCTGCCATACAGGGTTGCTATGAGTCAGAACCAACTCAACGGCACTTACCAACAACAGCAAAGCCTCCTGGGGAAAGAATCATTTGACTGCTTCCCCAACTCTTCATTACAGGGAACTCATTCTCACTTTAGAGGTCAGGACTTTCCAACCACCTAAGGAGCTCTGGTAGCAGAATGATTACAAATCGGGCTGCTAATCTCAGGGTCAGCAGTTTGAAACTACCAGCTATTCCGTAGGAGAAAAATGAGGCTTTCTGCTCCTGTAAAGATTTACAGCATCGGAAACCCCCAATGAGTCAGAACTGACTCCATGGCACATAACCACCAAACAATGGTTAGAAAATTCTCCCTGTGCTGAACAAGAATCTACTTCCTGGTTAGGCCCCAATCCTGGTCCCAGGACTGCTCTCTGAGCAGAGGCAACAACCCTAATTCCGCTCTCTCCTTTGGTCAGACTTCGGATTTCTCCAGGCTGAGTAGCAACAACCTTTACAAAGACACATCGTGACTCTTCTCACCATTCTGCACCTCCTCCCTTGGACATTCTCAAATCTACAGAGATCCCAACAATGTGACAATCAGAACAGACTAGCAACAAATTGGGTAGTGCTTATCTGCTTTATCAGAGTGTTATACCACAACTAATAGAGCTGGAAACTAAAGCCTTTTCTTGACAACTTCTGTGCTGACTGGCAGCTAAACTGCATGAGTTTTGTTTTGAGAAAGAAAAAGGAACCACTGTTAATTTTGTATCACTGAATAGGTATCTCAAACTTCAGAATTGTTTTCAATATCCACAGACTATCTTTACTGTTAAATTTCTTCCTTAAATAAACCTTTTAAATTTAAGTACTTTCATTTATACCCCTGTCATAGATAAATAACCAGAAGAGAATCATAAAAATAAATCCTACAAAATGATAGAGAATCATGTTACACTCTAGTGAGATAGACTGCTAGTCAACATTCTAACCTGCATGCAACCAACTAACAAAAAAGGGAGAATATTATAACTATTAGAAAAGTGTTACCAAAAAAAAAAATATTACAAACTAAACTAGCAACAAGCTGAGACTTTCAGATAAAATCAGAACAAATACATGACAATTTTCACAGGCTTTACAATTATGCTCACTTAACTCTGAGTCTTGACCCATTATTCTAGGCTATCTAGAGCTTTTGAGATCCTGATTTTATAATCTTTTATATTAATTATTCCTTCTGGCTACTATCATCTCTTGCTGGACTATTAGAATTGCTCTACTCATTCTGGATCCCTTCTTTGCCAGGCAACTAGAGAAATCTCTTCTAAAAGCAAACTGGGTCAAGTCATGGCCTTCCCAACCACCAAAGTGCAGCATGCACACAAACTCTATCCTTTTTCTAAATCACACACACACACAACCACACAACTTTCTTCCTCCAATACACACAAAAAACCATGTCACTGCCTACCATCTACCACTACACACACAACACACCTCAAAACCCCTAGTGGCCTCCGCTGCTCCTCAAACAGAGTTACATAGCTCTACCATGGTTATGAGTCCTGGCATGGCACTGGGGGTTAATGCACTAGACTGCAAAGTCGGTTTGAACTGCAAGGTTGGTGGTTCAAGCTCACCAGTCACACCCTCTATAGGGTCGCTATGGGTTGGAACCGACTCAATGGCACTTAACAACAACACCATGGCTATGGGCCCTGGTTGGTCCCAGCCTTCTCTCTCACCACCCTTCTCCCTTGGTCTTGCTTCTCTCAGTTCCTCAAACAGAATATTCTCCCTCCTCTGCAGAGTCTATGCTACTGCTTCTGCCTGAAAGGCTCTCTCCATCTCCCATGCATCAGTCCCCATTCCCTAAGTTAGCCCTGATTCAGATCCACTTCCTCAAGAGCCTTTCCCAGACTCCAAGTAGCTCTAGTAGCATAGTGGTTATCAGTTGGGCTGCTAACCTTAAGGTCAGCAGTTCAAAACAACCAGCAATTCCATGGGAGAAAGATGAGGCTTTCTGCTCCTGTAAAAATTTCAGCCTTGGAAACTGATTCCACAGCATACAACAACCATCAAGATGAAGTCAGGATGTTTTGTTAACGGCGCTCATAGAGCACTGTCCTTTACTCGCAGCACTCAAATGAGTCTGCAGTGGTATACTGTGTAAGTAAGATCATTTTCACCCCTGCTAGGCAGTACGCTTCAGGAATGCCTACTTTTTACTCATTTTCAGTTCACTGGTACGTAGCATAGTACCCAAAATAATAGGTACTGAAAAAAGGACAAAATAAATTATAAACATAATTAATCAGAAATTTCATATCTTTCTCTAGATAGTCTTTTAAGATGGTAAGAAGGAAAGGATTAAGTATAGATTGCAACTGGTGATTTTCAATCTTGGCTGCCCAGTAGACTCTAGATGAGATTTAAAAACTGTTCAGTCAGAATCTCCAGCATATAGAGCCTGGACATCAGTAAGAACCCAGGTAAGCCCAAGTGTGTAGCAGAGTTTAGAATCACGACTTTACATATATTTTCCTCAGTCACCATTTTCCCACCTTGCTCACAAGGCAAGACGCTTTGGTTAATACCCAGCTGGAAGTCAAATAAACTATGGCTGATTTCTCTTTTGCTGCCTAATGGGCCTTTCAAAACAGGAACTGGGATTTGTCTGTCATACGTCTTCCAGGGCCTCTCCCTGCACACATGCCTTCGCTTTCTGGTGCACACAGGCGTTTGTTGAGGCACTTGCCCAAAGCCATAGGACTCAGTGGAAGGACCAAACCTAATGCCCATATTGGTCTCCACGCCCCATTTCTCTTCACCTCACCACACAGTCACTCTGCCATACTTGCCTGTTTGGTAAACGGGCAGCAGCTGAAGTGAATGCAACTTGATGTCATCGGATAACACATAGGACGAAATATCAGGAGCAAAGCGTCTGCGGGTTAAAAAAAGGAGTGGGGATGGGATGGGGGCAAGATCTAATTTCCATGTACGTTAAGTAGGTCAATATATATTAGCTACTGGTGGATAAAAAGCTTTCAAATACCTACCTGTACAGCAGGTGCTGAACATGGAAATATTTTATTTTTTCATCAGTTAATCCTGTTGACTCCAATGTAACAGACACTCCAGACTGTTTGCTTTTTTCACCAAGAAGTTCCATGGGCTTTTGACACATAACAAAATCATCTGACTCAAGCTGGAGAGTTTCATTACTGATGACTTAAAAAACAAAGTTTATGTTTAACAACTTCAAGTACTATTTCTGCTTGAATGAAAATTAGTCACAACAATTTAACAATTAAGGAAACATGTAAGGTTGATCCAGGAATGGGCAGTGTCTTGTTCTTTTGTATATAGGGTTGCTAAGAGTCGGTACTGACTGGATGGCACCTAACAACAATATATTTATTTATACACACACACCTCTGACATTTACAAGGTACCACACCATATGATAAAGAGCTCTGGTAGCATAGTGGTTACGAATCGGGCTGTGAACCTTAAGGTCAGAACCCTGTACATGGTCGCTATGGGTCAGAACCGACTCAACAGCACATAACAGCACCACCACCACCACCATATGATAAACATTAGACTGCAAACCACAAGGTCCATAGTTTGAGCCCACCAGCAGCTCCTAAGGAGAGAGATGAGGCATTCTGCTCCCACAAAAATTTAAACCCTCAAAAGCCCTATACAGAGTTGCAATGGGTTGGAATTGACTCGACATCACTTAACAACAGTTTTATAAAATCTAACACTCATTATTGTTTCTTCACAATCATAAAGTATAAAGTATAATGGGTAATATCCCTTTTACAAATGAGGAAAATGAAGTTCAGGGCTGGGGTTAACTGCAAATACATGTAGAAAAACATTTACATGCTAAAGAGTAAGATCTATACAGCCAGATAATTAACCCAAATCCTGTTTTATAGGAATAAATAAATCTACAAATAATGTGGCTTGGCATCATTCATTCAGAGAAAGCCTTCAAAAATTGTCAGAGGTCAGAGTGCTCTCTACACATGAGCAATACAGCAAGTTTAAGTCATCATTTACCTTTATCTGCCTGTTGCATTGGACTGTTGGTCTTAAGTGGGTGGAAGGTAACAGTTGCACCAGTTTTAGGGTCTGACTTCAGTTTAAGAATTAAGACTTCTAAATCTGACATGACCGCGACATATCCAACACAAAATGAAATTTCTACTGGAGTGATATTATCTATGTGTATAATTAATGAGCGTTCAAAGTCCAATATCGAGAGTTCCTCATTAATGGTCCGATATGTCAAACTAAATAACACTAACTTATTTGTGCAGCCAACAAGAAGGTCTCCTTTCACAGGGCAACAGGAAACGCACAAGGGAGTTTCAGAAAGAGGCATTTCAATGATAGACATCTGGTCTCTGAAGGTTTCATTGACGGAGGCTTCCACATTGTGCCCAACCATTCGGATACACACACGAGAGTTTTCAGTCCTTTTGCTTCTCCAGTTCACATATGCACGAAGAAATGTAACTTTGTTTTTCTCTTCAATTGCCACCAAATAGTCTCCTACAGAGGAAATTAGATTATTATTAGAATTTTTAAGTTGAAATATAGCCGCTGCCTTGCTGCCATGAGACAGGTTTTAATGAATCCTAGCATGAATGGTTGAATTAAAAACTGAATAGAACAAAACTCAAAGTAACAGGATCTTAGGTGTTAGTATTTTTAAGATAGCAGGCATTTAGGTTCTGAAATACAATATAGCCCATGTTAGTGTCCTTAAACAACCTATTAATTACTCATGTAGCTTATATACAAATTCTGCATTTTTATCCTTGATGTTAGCTTTAAGGGTTTCCTGTAGTTCTGAATCTATACCTCCAACAAAGCTCTCCTGACACAGAGTTCAGTAATTTAAAAAATAATTCAGATTCACAGACACCTCCTACATCAGAACAGAACTGTGTTGTTACATCAACTTCTTAAACTGATGTTTAAGAAATCACCAGGCCTTTCTTCCAAAGCACCTCTGGGGAGCCTCACAGGAGATCCTATTAACTGCTGGCACCACCCCAGGGCATCCTCTGTGGGCTTAGTGTGACTTATTATAATTATATATAAATTAAGGATTCTTTCAGGTCAGCAGAACCTACATTTCAACTCAAATTTCTTCTTACAAAAGCTACATTTTCTTCCCAAAAGAAGAAACGAAATAAAGCTATACTTTTCAAATTAAACTGAAATCCAATTTTTCCTTAAAATTGTTGACTGTATTGTTGTTGTTATTTGTTGCTAAGTGCTGTTGAGTCATTTCCGACCCATGGTGACCCTGTATAGGGTTTCCAAGGTGCAGCAGGTGCACTTGAACCAATGACCTTATGGTTCAAACGACTTTGCAGTCCAGGACATTAGCCCACAGAGCTACACCAAGCACTGGCTGACTATTTTAGGTTCCATGTATTTGCCCTGAGAAGTCAAAGAGATAAAGAGATGCATAAACAACAGTGATCTTCCCCACACTGCTGCAGTTGCATCCCTGAGGAAACAATGTTAACACACGTGCCCTTCTGCACTTCTCTATGCTCATAGAAACACAGATGCAAAGAGGTGTCTTGTTTGCCTTTTTTCATTACCAAAATGGACCCACGTTAACTGTATCTGTCTGCAAACTTCCAAATACTATCAATAAGTCTTTCCATCCATATCACTATAGACATATAGCTAACATGCTTTTCAATATCTACATAGTAACCTATACATATGTATGTGCCACAATTTATTCAATAGTTCCCCCAATGATGTACATCCTGGTTATTTCTAGGTTTGCCACTATATTAAGTTGTACTAAACATGCCTAGGTTTATATTATATACTTATTTACTGGAAGGGCTATGTAAAAGTGAAATGGGGACAGCATCTGACCTCCTCTAACTTCACTAGGGGAGAGAGAAGAATCACTCAAGACTCATTAGCATCATCCCAAGGCTCATTCTGTAAGGCAGAGGTCAGACAAGACCCCACCCTCCAAACTTTTTGCCAATTCTGACACCAACTGTCCCTCCCATGTCACTCTTTACTTCTCTACTAGGTTCCATAACTGCCGCAATGACCACACAGCACTTACAACTCTGGGGTTTATTAGGAAGCTGTTGTTGTTGTTGTTAGGTGCCATCGAGTCGGCACCAACTCACAGAAACCCTATGTACAACAGAAAGAAACACGGCCCGGTCCTGGGCCAACCTCACAATTGCTGCCACGCTTGAGCCCACTGATGCTGCTACTTTGCCAATCCATCTCATTGGGGGTCTTCCTCTTTTTCTCTGCCCCTCCATCTTACCAAACATGATATCCTTCTTTAGCGACTGGTCCCTCCTGACAATATGTCTGAAGTATGAGAGACGAAGTTTGGCCATGTTGGCCTCTAAGAAGCACTCTGGCTGCACTTCTTCCAACACAGATCTGTTGGTTCTTTTGGCACTTTCAATATTCTCCTCCATATTCTCACACCATAACTCAAAGCATCAATTCTTCTACGGTCTTGCTTATTCACTGTTCAGCTTTCACATGCATATGAGTTTATTGAAAATACCATGGCTTGGGTCAGGCACATCTTAGTCCTCAAGCTGACATCTTTGCTCTTCAACACTTTAAAAAGTTCTTGTGCAGCAGATTTGCCTAATGCAATACATTTGTTTGATTTCTTAATTAAGGTAGAAGGTTACAATTCAGGATCAGCAATCCACAGGATACAGCTCTTTAATCAGAGCAGCCTCATCTCAGTACTGGCTGCAGATTCTCCGCCTCTCAGCCCTTTTGCCTCTTCCTGCATGCAACAAGTGCTACAAAGCTCTTTTAGCTCTGCTGATAAATGTCAAAAGGCACTCCACTCACCAGTAAGCCTCGCTAAGTGAGCTCCATGAGTTTACAAACCTAGATTCCTCACCACTAAGGAACCCTTCCCACCCCACCATTAAGGGTCCTGTCAGTCCACTCCACCAGCAAGCCTCCTGCCTACAAGCACTTGGCTTACTCGATCCCTGGGCTGGGAAGCCCCCTACTCTGTCTCTACTGGTCTTCTAGTTTTGCTGCCATTATTTTTCTACCACTGCTTCTTGCTGTCTCCACAATCACAGCTGTCTCCTGGGTTGAGGAGGTTCTGCACAGAGATCTCAGGTCCAAAGGACACACTCTACTCTTGGCTCTTCTTTCTTAATGGTAATGCTGTTGTTGTTGGGTGCTACTGAGTCAGTTCCAACTCACAGTGACCCTGGATAGGGTTTCCAAGGAGCAGCTGGTAAGTTTGAACTGCTGACCTTATCCTATGGCACCACACTAGGACTCCTAATGAGATACCCTTTTTCCACCTCTGGGATGGCTCATTTTGTGGCACTGTTGGATAAGCACTCAACCATAAGGTTGGTTTGAACTGCAAGGTTGGCAGTTCAAACCCACCAGTTGCTCCTCAGAAACCATATACAGAGTCACTATGAGTCAGAACCGACTTGATAGCATTTAACAAGAACCACCATCCAGTCAAAGGACTTCATGCTTGGTAAAAAGTAAACGGATAAGCAAAAAAGAGGAAGACCCTCAATGAAACAGAATGACAAAGTGCCTTCAACCATGGGCTCAACATAATAATTTGGGGGATGACACATGAATGGGCAGGAGCTCTGGTAGCATAGTAGTTACGAATTGAGCTGTGAACCACAAGGTCAGCAGTTCAAAACTACCAGCTGTTCCACGGGAGAAAGATGAGGCATTCTTCTCCCATAAAGATTAACAGCCTCGGAAACCCTGTGCAGGGTGGCTATGAGTCGGAACCGACTCCACGGCACTTAACAACAACAACATGAATGGGCAGTGTTTCATTCTGTTGTACATAAACAGAGTCACTGAGTTGGTAGGATTAGACAGCACCTAACAATACCATAACCTAGTCACTTAACAAGGCTATAGCTACAGTTGACCATCTTTTTTCTATGATTTCCAGTCATGCAGTTTTGCTTCTACAAATTGTTCAATTTCCACTAGACTGTTCAATCTCTATTTCTTATCAATAGCATAAAAGAGACACTAATCTCCTGTTGGCTATGTGTAGCAAATTTTTTTTCAAAGTCTATTGTTTGACATTTGAGTTTGCTTATATCATCTTTTACCATACACTCTTTATGCAGTTGGGTATACACCTTGGCTTCCTTCTTTGCTTGCTTCTGAGTTTCCTTCTGATTTCAGTGGTCTCCCATGTTCTCCAATTTACATAACTATCCTCCTATATAATCTTCTTCTAGTTGTTATGAGCTGCCAAGTTGATTTCCACAACGAACCTATGCACAACAGAATGAAACACTGCTCAGTCCTGAATCATCCTCATAACTGTTGCTGTTTGAGCCCATTGTTGTTAACACTGTCAACTCATCCTGTTGAGGGTCTTCCTCTTTTTCGCTGACTCTCCACTTTACCAAGCATGATCTCCTTCTCCAGGGACTGGTCCTTCCTGACAACATGTCCAAAGTACAGGAGAAAATGTCATGTCCAAGGAGCAATCTTGTCATACTTCTTCCAAAACAGATTTGTTGGTTCTTCTGGTAGCCATGGTATATTTAATATTCTTTACCAACACCATAATTCAACTCTCTTCTTTCAGTTGCTGTTGTTAAGTTCCGTCACATTGGTTCCGACCCACAGCAACCCTGTATAGGGTTTCCGAAGAGTGGCTGGTGAGCTTGAACCACCGACCTTGAGGATGACACCAACTTTGCAGTCCAGTGCATTAACCCACAGCACCACACCAAGACTGCCACTTCTTTCGGTAGGGCAGGGGAGGGGCAAGTAAGCCAGGAATCTAATTTCAGTTTTTCAAAAGTAGATACTATTACATTAACACCATTAAGTAAACCAGTCCTTCACTACTGAATTGGAATTGAAATGCTGCTCTTAATGTACTGAGTTCCTATATATGCATGGCACAAGCAAGCATGAAGAAAAACAGGATGGCAAAAGGCATCTTGGGAATGGTGGTCAATTCATACATTTTCATAATTATTTTTAAATCTTCCACAAATGAGATTAAGTTTTGTTACTTTTTAAAATGTTTAAATTTTGTTTATTTTTAAGAAAACAAGTGATCTATGAAGAATAAAAAAAATAAAAGCATCTGCTAAAAAGAAAAAAAATTAAGAATCGTTTCAAGCAACATGCACACCACCACAATGTGCCACTGGTAGGCAGGTGGTAGACGAGTAGATGGCTGTGTGCCGTGGAGTCGGTTCCAACTCATAGCAACCCTGTACAGGGTTTCCGAGGCTGTAATCTTTACAGGAGCAGAAAGCCCCATCTTTCTCCCATGGAACAGCTGATAGTTTCGAACTGCTGACCTTGCGGTTTGCAGCCTGATTCATAACCACTATGCTACCAGATGAGTAGAGAAGTAGGTAGTGTGGCTGTTGTTGTTGTTAAGGGCCACTGAGCCAGTTCTGACTCAGAATTAACCCTGTTAGGATTTCAGAGAAGCGTCTGGTGGGTTTGAACCACTTATCCTACAACACCAAACCTATGTCCTGTGTAGACATATCTATGTCTACAGGACATAGATATGTATGTGTGTGTGTGTGTGTGTGTTTGCAACCTATTGAATATTTGTTGTTGTTGTGAAGTGCAGTCGAGTCAGTTCTGACTGATAGCGATCCTGTATAGGATTTCCGAGGAGCAGCTGGTGAGCTTGAACCGCCTACCTTGCAGTTCAAATGGTTTTGCAGTCTGGCGCATTAACCCACAGGGGCACACCAGGACTCCCATTGATTATGTTGTTGTTGTTGTTATGTGCCGAGGAGTCGATTCCGACTCATAGCGACCCTGTACAGGGTTTCCGAGGCTGTAAATCTTTAAGGGAGCAGAAAGCCTCTTTGATTATAGTTCTCTGGAAAACCCTGATACATATCCCAAAATATTATTACAAGAGGAACACATCCTACTAATTAGAAATTAAGAACAGTAATATTTTCTGATTGGGTAAGAGATCAACAAAGTATTTTTAATAAATGGCTAACATAAAGATTTTCCTGGTTTTGGCAGGCGGAGATTGCTACAGAAAAGAAAAACCGTGGGTGCTTAGAGGGATACTCCATGTCCCATTTACTTTGAGTGGCAGGAAGAGATCAAAGAGGAAAAGTTGAAAAGTGAAAGACAAGTTACTTGAACTTCAACATAGCCTAGAGTCAGCCCTATTTACGTTCAGTTGTACATGGACAAATAGAAGCTGTATCTAGGGTTGAAAACTAAGCCAAACTGAAAATTACCCTTAAGCTATATGACCCACACTGATGCCATCTCACATGACGCTTTAGCTTTTTAAAAAGCAGTTAACTAGATCATAAAAATATCTTCGTTCTTCAAGGGTTCATTAATGATATTTATTACCAAGCTAGTACTCATGATTTCCTGCAGCCAAAGTGGCTCTAGGTCATTGGATCTCACTGCTGGCTGAACATTAAACTCTCCATAATGTTGGCCCTACCCCAAAGCAACTGACGCTGCTAGGACTCCTTACAGATATCCAGGCAATAGCAATGCAAGGTGCCCAGAATCAGTGCTATTGACAGGCAAGGAAATGAAAGGCTCACATAACTGGTTTGATTTCTAATTCTAGAATATAGATTTGGAGGAATGGGGCATATCATGTAAATATCATCAATCTGTTTTTCTTACACTTCCTGACACACACACACCCCAAGTAGAAACTGGTGAGATTGTTACTCAACAGAGATCTTAAAAGTGAAAACACCTGTGCCTAAAAGGGGTGAAGGAATTTTTCACCAAGTAAAAGTGATAACCATAATAGGTGGATTTCATAAGAAATACCAAAATCAGAACATTTCAATACAGTCATAATTAAAATACAGGTGGTCAAACTGTACTATGTTGAAAGGTAATTTAGAGATAAATAAGGGATTTTCAAACAGACCTGTGGACCATCACAGACCCATGCAGAATATTTTCACTAGTCAAACAAACAAACAAACAAACAAAAAACCTGTGGGCAGTAGAGTAAGCTGCTAATAAAATTAATAGATCTACACTTTGGGGCAATGGTTTTTACTTTTACAAATAATGGTAATAGTAAATAAGTTGTTAAATGCAGCACCATCAGATACGACTCCTAGAAACCCTGTGTAGGATTTCCGATCAGCTGCTGGTAGATTTGAAAGGCCCATCTTGTGGTTCACAGTCCAGAACTGATCCTAAAGTGCCACCCCAGTAGTCCATTAGTAAATAGTGGGGTTGTACATTTAAAAAATACGTGACAAAACGAAGGCCAGGCACCATATATGGTAGTCCCACAGTTTTTTATTGATCCACAAAATCTCAGTATCTGGAAATCACTGATCTAGTAATTCAATCTTTCTTTTTTACAGAAAACCAAGTTCAAATGTTACTATAAACCCACATCCAGCCAGCCACTGAGTAAGAACTAAAGATAGCCAACTTTCAATGTCATTCTCTCCCCCAATTAGTGCCTTGGCAACCTACTCTTCCATCCTAAATGCAGTACTTAACACCCCTCTTGAAAAAGAATAAATCAAACTTTTAAGTGTATTAGGCAGTTAAAGAAATCCTACGGTAAATTTATCTGTAATCTGAAGCAGCACCCATCTTTATGTGTTGGGTTTTTCTAAAATGGGGATACACAGCACCCCATAGTATGCCTTCACATTTCTAGTTGTTGTTGTTATGTGCCTTGGCGTTCGTTCCGACTCATAGTGACCCTATACAGGGTTTCCGAGGCTGTAAATATTTACAGGAACAGAACGCCTCATCTTTCTCCCGCGGAACAGCTGGTAATTTCGAACTGCTGACCTTGAAGTTTGCAGCCCCATTCATAACCACTATGCTACAGAATCTGGTGTAGCGCTGTGGATTAATGTGATGGACTGCAAAGTTGGTCTGAACCACAGCACCAGCCACTCTTCGGAAACCCTATACAGGGTCGCTATGGGTCGGAACCAACTCGACAACACTTAACAACAACGCTACCAGTAGGAAAGAATAATGTGTGAACTACAGCTCTCCATAAGGGGAATGGGGAGGGGGATAGCACTCAAAGAATTCTACGCATTAGATTTCAAAATCAGCATATAATGTGAGCTTGTGAAAACCAGCAGAAAGTGGATGGAGGTATAGACTGAAAAGTGATGCCTAAGGGTATATGGTGTGGCACTGTGGGTTAAAGCGCCAGATTGCAAAATCCTTTAAACTGTAAGGTCCGTGGTTCAAGCTTACCAGCTGCTCCGCAGCACAAAGACGATCTGGTAGTGTAGGTAACAAGCCGGGCTGCTAAACTCAAGGTCAGCAGTTCAAAACCATCTCAGCTGTTTCGTGGTAGAAAGATGAGGCTTTCTCAGCCTCGGAAACCCTATACAGCGTCGCTATGAGTCGTCTCACTAAGCGTCAGAATCGACTCCTTGGCAGCTACCACCACCACCACCATCATCCATCCATCCATCCCTCTTTGGTGTGTCCTGGTGTGGTGCCATGGGTTAATGCGCTGGGCTGCAAGGTCGGTTGAACCTCAAGGTCAGGGATTCAAACTCGCCAGCCGCTTCTTGGAAACCCTATACAGGGTCGCTATGATGGCACTTAACAACAATCCACTCCTACTATAGTGTGTATTTGAAATTTCCTGTGGTGGTGGCGGTTATGTGCCGTGAAGTCGATTCCGACTCATAGCGAGTCTGTATAGGGTTTCCGAGGATGTAAATTTTTAAGGGAGCAGAAAGCCTCATCTTTCTCCCGCGGAACAGGTGGTAGTTTCGAACTGCTGACCTTAAGGTTCGCAGCCCGATTCGTAACCACTACGCTACTAGAGCTCCTGTAATTTCCTGTACTAAAGGGGAAAAAAAGTAAGTAGATATTAGCCACAGGCCTTTTCTGACAGTCAGCGTTCCGGAGGAGAGCTGTGATTAGTGGGCCATCGCATCTGAGGAATCAACGAACAGTCCCTCCCGACACTGAGCGGCCAAAGACGCCAGCACCGCCAGGAAGGAAGCCCCAAGTCGGCGCCGGCGCAACTCACCCGCCTCGCTGTAGGCCAGGAGCAGCACTCGACCCAGCGTGTTGAAGGTGCACCTCGGCTGGCACAGCTCCTGGCCGACCACGGTGAACACCTCCACCTTGCAGCCCGCCGCCACGAACAGCGCGTCGCTCCCCCCACCGCAGAACCGCTCGGGCTGCTGCTTGCAGGGTACCACCTGCTGAGACCCGAACGGGTGCAGGTTGTACAGCTGCACCATCCTGTCGTCCGGCTGCAAAACCGCCCCGCGGTGGCCGACCCTACCAGGCAGCCTCCGCGGGGCGTTAACAAATCCAGAGCCGGCCGCGGAGGCTGGGCAACTTCCGCAAGCAACCAAACCGCGCTAAGTCATGTGAGCTGCAGCCTAGCACGCTTGCGGCTCTGCTTTTTTTAAAGAGGCGGAGCAGCGCCCAAGAACGGCCCCATCCCCTAGTCCCGCCCACAGCCGCGCCCACGCCCCGCCCTGCCCCTAGTTCCTTGGACCCATCTTCCAGTGCGTTTCTCAGTTCTGTGCTCAGCGATTGGCCAACGCAGTGATTCCTGTGTCCTTCCCTTCTGCGTTTTAGTCTCAGATAATAATAATAATAAGTTCTCTGTACAGTATTGGAAACTTTTAAAGTAGTTACTAAAAGATAATAAAAAATGAAAGCTCTTCAGCTTCAGCTTCCAGACAATGGTATCACTTCCTACCCGAAACAAACAAAATACACAGTAAGTGAAACAATGGTTTGCAAGAACTGGACAACAGGCAACGGAAGACAATGATGGGAAATAGATAAGGTGAGAGCTGAGACTGCCCCAGTTTACTGCTTATGAGAGTTTGCAAGCCATGCAGTTGAAAAGGAGCAGAAAAGTCCTAAGAGACCAAGGTTGCTATAATTTGGTGGTTAGAGTACCAAAGAGCTGAGAGCTGCACAGAAGAACTCCAGAGATTTATAGAGTCCCCCTTGATTCTTTAGAAGAGTGCTACTCAACAAATAAAGTTGTATTTGAAGAAATTACATAAAGCTGAGGAAAGAACCATTGAAATGGATTAGAGATATGCAGAGCATAGAATAATGATTTCTCAGCTGCCAGACTAAAAACCCTCGTAATTGTTGGGATATTGGGTAGAATATTCAAGAGTTTTGCCTCAGCTAATGATTGTGGTGTGTCCTGGTGTGGTGCTGTGGGCTAAAGCACTGGATCACAAAGTCAGTTTGAACAAGGTCAGTGGTTCAAACTCATCACCCGCTCCTCAGAAACCCTACGCAGGGTTGCTATAAGTTAGAACCAACTCAACAGCAATTAAAAACAACAACAACTGCTGTTGAATCTGCTCCAACTCATGGCGACCTCATGTTTAGCAAGTGAAATCTTTCCAGGTCTTGTACCATCCTCATAAACACGCGTGTGTTGAGTCCATTGATGCTGCTGTGATGTCATTCCAGCTCATTGATCAGAGTTGTGGGATGACATCAACATATCATATGGGAAGAAAGCAAAAGGTCATTAAGAAGACAAGAAAAAAAGAAAAGACCAACATGGGTGTCAGAAGACATTCTGAAAGTTGCTCTTCAGCATACAGATGCTAAAGCAAATAGAAGCAATGAGAAGGTAAAAGAGCAGAACAGAATATTTCAAAGGACAGCTCAAGGTGATAAAATTAACTATTACAATGAAATGTGCAAAGACCTGGAGTTCGAAAACCAAAAAAAAAAAAAAATATATATATATATATATATATATATATACTCAACATTTCTCAAACTGAAAGAACTGAGGAAAAAGTCAAGCCTCAACTTGAAATATTGAAGGATTCTATGGGCAAAATATTGAAAGATATAGAAAGCATCAAAAGAAGATGGAAGGAATTCACAGAGTCACGGAACCAAAAAGAATCGATTGATGTTCAACAATTTCAAAGGCAGCATATTAACAAGAGCCAATGATACTGAAGGAAGAAGTACAAAATGCATTAGCAAAGAACCAGACTCCAGGAACTGATGGAATAGAAATTGAAATCTTTCAACAAACAATGCAACACTGGAGGCACTCACTCTTCTATGCCAAGAAATTTAGATGACAACTACCTGGCCAAGTGATTGGAAGAGATCCATATTTGTGATTATTTCAAAAAGAGGTGACCTATTGGAATGTGAAAATCATTGTGCAATATCATTAATATAACATGCAAGTAAAATTTTGCTAAAGATAATCCAAAAATGGCTGCAGCAGTACGCCAGCAGGGAACTGGCAGAGATTCTTGCTGGATTCAGGCAAGGTTGTGGAATGAGAGATACCATTACTGACATCAGGTGAATCTTAGCTGAAAGCTGAGAATACCAGAAAGATATTTACCTGTGCTTCATTGACTATACAAAGGCTTTCAACTGTGTGGATCATAACAAGCTATGGAAAACATTGTGAAAAATGGGATTCCAAAATATTCAATTGTGCTCATGAGGAGCCTTACATAGACAAAATGGCAGTTGTTTGAACAGAACAAGGGGACACTGAATGATTTAAAATCAGGAAAGGTGTTTGCCAGAGTTGTATTCTTTCACCATACTTATTCAATCTGTATGTTGAGCACATAACCCGAGAAGCTGGAGTTTATGAAGAAGAACATGTCATCAGGATTGGAGGAAGACTCATTAACAACATGCGATATGCAGATAATCTTGCTTGCTGAAAAGGAAGAGGATTTAAAACACTGATGAAGATCAAAGACCACAGCTTTCAATATGGATTGTACCTCAAACTTAAAAAAAAAAAAAATCTTCACCACTGGATCAGTAAAATAATATCATGATAACTAGAGAAAAGACTGAAGTTGTCAAAGACCTCATTTTGCCTTAATCCATTGTCAACACTCATGGAAGCAGCAATCAAGAAATCAAATGGCATATTGCATTATAAAAATCTGCTGCATAAGGCCACATTGAAGATTATGGTGTGCCTGATCCCATATTTTGCAACACTGGACTTCAAATCACAAGGTCAGCAGTTCAAACCTACCAGCTGCTCCACTATTGTTGTTTTTGTTCTTAATTGCCATCGATTCAGTTCCAACTCATAGCAACACTGTGTAGGGTTTCCAAGGAATAGCTGATGGGTTTGAACTACTGCTATTAGTCGGAAACGACTCAATGGCACTTCACAACAACAACCACATATGCATGTGAAAGTTGAACATTAAATAAGGAAGACCATAGAAGAATTGATACATTTGAGTTGTAGTGTTGGAGAAGAATATTGAAAGTACCATGGACTGCCTGAAAAACAAACAAATCTGTGTTGGAAGAAGTACAGCCAGAATGCTCCTTAGAAGCCAGGATGGTAAAACTTTGTCTCTCATACTTGAGACATATTATCAGGAGGGACCAGTCCCTGGAAAAAGACATCATGTTTGGTAAAGTGGAGGGTCAGCAAAAACGAGAAAGACCCCCAGCAAAATGGATTGGCACAGTGGCAGCAGCATTAGGCTCAAGAGTAACAATAATTGTGGGGATACCGCAGGACCGGGCAGTGTTTCATTCTGTTGTGTATAGGGTCACTGTGAGTCAGAACAGATTGGATGGGTGGTGCTGTGGGTTAATGTGCCAGACTACAAAGCCATTTGAACTTGAAGGTCAGTGGTTCAAGCTCACCAGCTGCTCCTTGGAAACTATGCAGAGTCGCTGTGGATTGGAATCAACTCAATGGCACTTAACAGCAACAACAACAACATCTCACTGATGGTTTCCATCAATGTCACTGGCCCTATACTTTACCAAACATGACGTTCTTTTCTAGACATTGCTCTTCCATGTTATTGTTAAGTCCTGTCGAGTCTATTACAACTCAGCAACCCTATATAGAGTTTCCAAGGTATATCTGGTGGGTTTGAACCACTGACCTATTGTTAACAGTCCAGTGCTTATCCCTCAGTGCCACACCAGGACACTTTCCTGATGATCTGTCCAAAAATCAGCCATGCAAAACACTATAGAGCACAACTGTATTCTTACATACATGGGGTCACCATGAGTTAGAATTGAATTTACAGTAGCTAATATGGATTTCCCATTGTCGTTTTATTCCTGTGCACAACAGAATGAAACACTGCTCAGTCTTGTGCCATCCTTATAATAATCCTTATGTTTCAGCCCATTGTTGCTGCCACTGTGTCAATACACCTCATTGAGGATCTTCCTTTTTTTTTGCTAAGCTGTCCCTCCGCTTTACCAAATATTATGTCCTTACCCATGAACTAGTCATTCCTGACAAAATGTTCAAAGTATGAGAAGCTAAGTCTCTCCATCCTTGCTTCAAAAGTGCATTCTGGCTGTAAGTCTTCCAAGACAATTTGTTTGTTCTTCTGGCTGTCCATATAACAGAAACACCACAATGGAAAACTTTAACAGAAATTTATTTTCTCACAGTTTATGAGGCTAAAAGCCCAAATCCAAAGCAACATCTGTAGGGAAATGTCCTTGTCTCCTCTCAGCATCTGTAGGACCATCACTTCTAGGAGACCTCTATGTGTCATCATTCTTTTCCTGAATCTAGTAGCTTCACAACACAGGTATTCCTGTTCTAAAGGACACTCTCCACTCCCAGATATTCTTTCTTGGTGGTAGTATGTCCCTTTTCTCTGCTTACTTCTCTTTACTTTTATTTCTTATAAGATAAAAAAGTGTTGCATACAGAGAACAAACAAGATGGCGGATCAGGTGGATGTGTAGCAGAGAGCTCCACCACCAATAACACAGAATACCCAATGAAGCAGGTTCAGGGGCTGGTCCCAGAACTCTGAACCACATATAAAGGAATACTTAGAAGATTGGAAGGCTCACAGCTGGGGGAATTTGTGGCAGAAGCAAGAAATCTATTGCTTTCTAGTCCGGGACGCTTGGCTGCTCCAGGAGCCACCATGTTGGGTGAGACCATGTGGGGAAAGGATCCGAGCGGCCACAGACGCCTGGCAGAACCGCTGAGATAAAGGTGTGGACATTCTTTTACTTTGGTATCTGTTCATTGGTCCCTTGCTGTCTGTGCACTTTCATTCTCGTGACTATAGAGGTGCCTGAGCTAGTGGGCACCCCAGCCTCACCCTCGGAGGGCTCTACTATGCATGCACACAGATCCCCTCGAAATTTTTTTTTTTCTACTTGATATATTTTATTATCATTTGAATTAGACACAGACACACCTGTTGTGATACATGTTGAGTAACTAAAAACAAAGGAAAATAATTTAAACTATTGAAAATCAGAATATACACTACATCTTCAACTTTTAACAATACACAGTTTAACAGTTTGTCCCCTCGAAATTTAAAGAGACAGTTTCCAATTAAAACCAAACGGCCACAGCCGGCCCTGAACTGTTTACGACTAGAAAAAAATCCTGAAC